TGTATGGATTTAGTTTGCTAATGTTTTATTTAGAATTATTGCATTTATGTTCACAAGTGAGATTTGTAACTTTCCTTTCTTAAACTGATCCTGCCATGTGTTGATATCAAGATTATGTTAGACACATAAAATGAGTTGGAGAGTTTCCTCTCATTACGATTCTCTGAAAGAATAATAAAGCATGCTTTATTACACTTTTTTTTTAAATAAACTATATCCAACACAGGACTGGAACTCACAACCTCAAAATCAGGAATCATACATTTTGCCAACTGACCCAGCCAGCTGCATGTTGTACATTTAAAATTTACATAATGTTGTATGTCAATTATATCTCAATAAAGCCAAAAAAAGAATTGTAAAATAGCTAATTTTAAAAGTATATTGAGGGACTCCTGGGTGGCTCAGTAGTTGAGCATCTGCCTTCAGCCCAGGTCATGATCCCAGAGTCCAGGATTGAGTCCTGCATTGGGCTCCTTGCCCAGAGCCTGCTTCTCCCTCTGCCTGTGTCTCTGCCTCTCTCTTTCTGTCTCTCATGAATAAATAAATAAAATATTTTTAAAAAATTTTTTTAAGTATATGGATTACAGGGCAGCCCAGGTTGCTCAGAGGTTTAGTGTCGCCTTCAGCCCAGGGACTAATCCTGGAAACCTGGGATGGAGTCACACATCAGGCTCCCTGCATGGAACCTGCTTCTCCCTCTGCCTGTGTCTCTGCCTCTCTCTCTCTCCCTGTGTCTCTCACAAATAAATATTTTTTTATTTTTTTTAAAGATTTATTTATTTACTTATTCAGAGAGAGCGAAAGAGAGGCAGAGACACAGGCAGAGAGAGAAGCAGGCTCCATGCTTGATCCCAGGCCTCCAGGATCACACCCCGGGCTGCAGGAGGCGCTAAACCGCTGTGCCACAGGGGCTGCCCTAAAGTATTTTTTAAAATAAAAAAAAGTATATTGATTATAAATTGAAATGATAGCATTTCAAACAGAGGGTTAAATGTTATCAAAATTAATTCCATGGGCACCTGGGTGGTTCAGTGGTTGAGTATCCACCTTTGGCTCAGGTCGTGATCCCGGGGTCCTGGGATCGAGTTCAGCATCAGGCTTCCTGCAGGGAGCCTGCTTCTCCCTCTGCCTATTCTCTGCCTCTCTCTCTGTGTCTATCATGAGTAAATAAATAAAACCTTTAAAATAAAAATTAATTTCACTTCCGGGCACCTGAGTGGCTCAGTCCGTTAAGCATCCATTCTTGATTTTAGCTGGGGTCATGATCTTGGGGTCATGAGATTTTGAGATCAAGCCACTTGACGGGTCCTGTGCTGGGCACGGAGTCTGTTTGGGACTCTCTGCCTCTCCTGCCCTTCTTCTTGTGTATGCTCTCTAAACAAACAAAATCCTAAAAAATAAGAATTTCACTTTTTTTTTGTAGACCCCATGCTGTGGAGTCCCCTTTTTTATTGTGGCTACTAGAATATTTCAAATTACATATGTGATTTATATCTGTGGCTCACAGTATATTTACTGGACAGCTAATTTAGCCTTTTATTAAGATTTTATATTTTATTTTTATTTTTAATATTTTATTTATTTATCCATGAGAAACACAGAGAGAGAGGCAGAGACACAGGCAGAGGGAGAAGCAGACTCCATGCAGGGGGCCCGATGTGGGACTCAATCCAGGGACTCCAGGATCACACCCTGAGCCAAAGGCAGGCACTCAACCGCTGAGCCACCCAGGGATCCCAAGATTTTTTAAAGTAGTATCTACCCCCAACATGGGACCAAACCCACAACCCCGAGATCAAGAGTCTTGTGCTCTGCTGGCTGAGCCAGCCAGCCATCCCAAGAGCTGTGTATAGTATATGTATTTTAATTTCTTCCATATCAATAAATGTTTCCTTCCTCATTTTCAATTTTAAAAATCTTTCTCCTCTTGGGCAGCCTGGGTAGCTCAGCGGTTTAGCGCCGCTTTCAGCCCAGGGCCTGATCCTGGGGTCCCCGGATTGGGTCCCGGGATCAAGTCCCAAGTCGGGCTCCCTGCATGGAGCCTGCTTCTCCCTCTGCCTGTGTCTCTGCCGCTCTCTCTCTCTCTCTCTCATTAATAAATAAATTTTTAAAATCTTTTTTAAAAATCTCCTTATCACACTTGCCAAAAGTTTATGGTTTTTTTTTTTTATTGGTCTTTTCCTAAAACCAGCTTTCATGCTAGATCTAACTATGAGTTTATAGAAAATACAGGAGACAGAGGGACATGTTAACACATTGGAGATAAAATCTGCAAAAACCAGAATGTTTTCCTCTACATGACAACTTGGATTATTCAACAAATAAATTGCAAGAAAAATAAAGATAGAAAGGAGGAAACTGAAGATATTAAGAAACAGTCTAAATGTAACACTTAGATCTATTTGGTTTCCTGACTTAAATAATCTATTAAAAATTTAAGGAAACAAGCGTACCTGGGTGGTTCAGTGGTTGAGCTGTCTGCCTTCAGCTCAGGTCATGATCCCAGGGTCCTGGGATGGAGTCCCACATTGGGCTCCCTGCATGGAGCCTGCTTCTCCCTCTGCCTGTGTCTCTGCCTCTCTCTCTCTCTGTGTCTCTCATGAATAAATAATCTTTAAAAATTTTTAAAAATCTTTATTATTTTTTAAAGATTTTATTTATTTATTTATTTATTTATTTATTTATTTATTTATTTATTTATTTATGAGAGACACAGAGAGACAGAGAGAGGCAAAGACATAGGCAGAGGGAGAAGCAGGCTCCATGCAGGGAGCCCAATGTGGGACTTGATCCTGGGTCTCCAGGATCAGGCCCTGGGCCGAAGGTGGTGCTAAACCACTGAGCCACCCAGGCTGCCCACCAAAAAAATTTTTTTAAAGAAACAATTAGGGAAATTTGAATGCTGAGTGAATATTTGATGAAATTAAGGCATGATGTTTAGTTCTAGGTATAGTAGTGGTAGGTGGTTATGTTAAAAAAAAAAGAGTCATTCTCTTTTTGAAATACATATTCACATATTTACAGATGAGAAGTTCTGTCTGGGATTTGCTTGGTGGTGGTGGTGGTGGGTGAGAGAACATAGATGAAATAAGATTGGCCCTGAGTTGATCATTGTTGAGGCTGGATGATGATTATATGCAGGTTTATTATACTAATCTCTTTACTTTGGGATATGTTTGAAATTTTTCCATTATAAATCACATAAAGAAAAAACAGGACCAGGGGCACCTGGCTGGTTCAGTCAGAGCAGGTGACTCTTGATCTCAAGGTTGTGAGTTCAAGCCCCACTTTGGGTGTGGAGATTACTTAAAAATAAAATCTTAGGGGCTCAATTTGTTAAGTGTCTGCCCTTGGTTTGGGTCATGTTCCCAGGGTCCTGGGATAGAGCCCTATGTTGGGCTCCCTGCTCAGTGGGGAGTCTGCTTCTCCTTCTCTATCTGCCTCTCTCCCTACTCATGCCCTCTCTCTCTCTGCCAAATAAATATGTAAAATATTTTTTTTTTTAAGGGAAGACTTCCCTTTTTTTTTTTTAGATTTTTTTTTATTTATTTATGATAGGCACACAGTGAGAGAGAGAGAGGCAGAGACATAGGCAGAGGGAGAAGCAGGCTCCAGGCACCGGGAGCCCGATGTGGGATTCGATCCCGGGTCTCCAGGATCACGCCCTGGGCCAAAGGCAGGCGCCAAACCGCTGCGCCACCCAGGGATCCCGTAAAATATTTTTTTAAATAAATAAATAATAAAGTCTTAAAATTAAAAGTAAAAGAAGGAAAAAACAGGTCCTAATTATAATAATCAAGTTTATTGCTTTGTTTTCTAGTTCACTGATTTGAGCTTTGGTCTTTAAAAAAATTCCTTCTCTTTTTGGTTTTGTTTTACTGTATTTATCCTAGGCTAGTTTATTACTTTTTCATATATTTTTCAATTTTTCTCCTTTCCTAATAAGTGGATTTAGGCTATAAATACTCCTCTGAGAAGCACTTTGGCAAAGCACAGATTTCCATGTCTAAGGAGAGAGTGTTCTCATTCATTTCAAAACAGTGTGATTTCAGTTTAGAGCTGGTTATATTTTAGTGGCAGGAGAATAATCGAGTGAACAGAGATTTTTTTTTTAATTTATTTATTCAGAGAGAGAGAGACTGAGAGGCAGAGACACAGGCAGAGGGAGAAGCAGGCCCCATGCAGGGAGCCTGATGCGGGACTCGATCCTGGGTTTCCAGGATCAGACCCCGGGCTGCAGGCGGCGCTAAACCGCTGCGCCACCGGGGCTGCCCTGAACAGAGATTGAAGACAATAAATACTGATGGTGCACCTGGATGGCATAGTCAGTGCAGCTCAGCAGGGTATCTGCTTGAGATTCTCTCTCTCCCTCTCCCTCTGCCCCCCACCTGCATGTGTGTGCTCTCTTTCAATAATTTTTTTTTAAGATTTTATTTATTTATTCATGATAGACACACAGAGAGAGGCAGAGACACAGGCAGAGGGAGAATGCAGGCTCCTCACAGGAAGCCTGATGTGGGACTTGATCCTGGAACCCCAGGATCACACCCTGAGCCGAAGGCAGACGTTCAACCACTGAGCCACCCATGCATCCCAATAAATAAAATATTAAAAAAAAAAAAAAGATAATACTGACAGCAAGGCCAGAGGACTGAGAGGGAACAATTTCAGTTTCTTACCATAGGCCACTTCCTTTTTTTTTTTTTTTTTAAGATTTTACTTATTTATTTATTTATTTATTTATTTATTTATTTATTTATTTATTTATATTTATTTATTTATGAGAGACGAGAGAGAGGCAGAGACACAGGCAGAGGGAAAAGCAGGTTCCCTGCAGGGAGCCCAAGGTGGGACTCGATCCCAGAACTCCGGATCACACCCTGGGCCGAAGGTAGACTAAACCACTGTGCCACCCGGGTGTCCCCGTAGGCCACTTCCTATGATGTTACTGCCGAGGGAGGGCTCCCTTTGTCTAACATTCTGGTTCCAAGGCAGAATTCTGTTCTGTTCTGGGTGGCTAGAGCCTTCAGCCCAGCAAGTGCCACGATGAAACTGAAGCAAGGATCGTTTCTGTGGTACCTCTATCTGGACAAGCTGTATTGCCTGTTGTCTGTGAGGAATGTGAAGGCCTTGCTGGAGTATTTTCACCTTCTCGATGTGCACCACAACAACACCTTGAATGGTCGGTGCTTTCAGCAGGGCTTCCTCTGAGTGGTCACCTGGCTTTTCACTAACTCGCAGGAAAACTCGCAGAACCAGAAACTCCCTTGGTGACAAATATGTATTTTATCTTCTAAATGAGGTGTGGGGTGGGGAGAATGGCCAACAGAGACCTGAGACCAGGAGCAGTTGAGGGAGGAGGGGAAGGTTGCAGGCTCTGGCATGAAGCCTTGGCTCTTAGTGATTTGGAGAACGTGTCATCATCCTCTTTAGGTGTCATTGTCCTCAGCCACAGATGAGGCTTCTAAGCATAAAGCCCAAGTCCTGGTTGGGAAAAAATAGATAATGAAATAAAATAATGTGTGGAAAATGGTTAGCACAGTGCCTGGCACACAGTAAGAACTTAGTGTTTGTTGTTAGTATAGTTATTCCTGGGGGCTGAGCCCCATCTGCACATTAACCCTTAAGACCCCCTTAACAAGATTTCTCATCTGTCAAGCGGGAGTTTTGAATCAATCAGGATCCCTTCTAATTTGTGGTACTTGAGAGTGACCAGAAAGTGTTGATGATCTCCACTCTGTCTTCGAATGCAGAAACTAACAGAAGACTGATTAAAATACTTTAGGCTTGTTTGTTTTGTTTTGAAGGACTGGATAATATCCTTAGGGATACAGGATAGTATCCTACCCGTTCATTGTGATCTGAAGAAAATAAATGTCATTTGTGAATAAAGTATTTCTTCCATAAAGATTTTTTTTAAAGATTTATTTGAGGGAGAGAGAATGAGTGAGGGAGAGACAGAGGGAGAGGGAGAGAGAATCTAGACTCCCTGCTGAGCTCCACTGACTATACCATCCAAGTACCCTCTCCATAAAGATTTTTAAGAGCCTATGCAGTCTTTACAAATGATAAAAAGACACCTTCATTTTCTCATAACTTCATGCCTGTTTTTCTCTTTACATATAGATTTACATACACACAGTAATGTCACCAAATCTTTGCAACTGCCGGGACCTAGATAAGGCAACTGTAAGGCACCCGGCTGTAAACAGAGAAGCTGGGACTGCAACCCAGGCCTTCTTGACTCCAAAGCCTACACTCATAGTCTCACTGGAACGTTTGCTGAGAAGTCTGGTCTCCTTAGTAACAAAATCACTCCCTGATGATGCAAAGCCCAAGAGGCAAAGTCATGCTCCTGTCCTCTGGTCACCAAGGGACTGGTTAGTGTGGTGAGACAGTGAACGCACAGCCTTCTGAGAAGGCAGTTGACTTGGGCTTTAGAGGCTTGAGTGAGTCAGAGGCAGCTGCTTTAGAAACAGTATTTGCTATGTAGCTACTAAGTCCCACACTGAAACTTTTCTGAAGGAGCAACTGCACAAAGGTCATTGTGGATATATATAATGTGCTCATACCTGGTGCGCCATAGGGAAGGAACATCAGATGCCCCTCAGATCATGACATTGTGATGATCGGTTCACTATGCTCTTAGCTAGACTCAGTCGGGGCGCCAAACTACATAGATGTTGTATATATTTTTTGGAGCTGTATTTTATATAGGCGATAGTTTCTGTAATCAATGGGCAAAGGGATATCACATGTACACAAAGTTACATTTCAATATCCCTGAAGTTAGCATGGGTGATTTGCATATACAATCTGTAAGCCACGTACTCTTACATAAATGTGTCACTGTGTTGGTTTCTTCCATCTTGTCCTCCTCGAAACAGATGATCAGTGAGTGGAATTTCTGGCAAAAACCCTCCCTGGTTTTTAAATTATGTATATTTTTCTGTGTATATGATTGAATATATATGTATTAACCTGCAAAAGACACAGCTTCACTGTGGAAAGACCAAGGTTGTAGAGTCAGACGGACATTTGTTTTTTTAAAAAATTGTATTTTTTCATGAGAGACACAGAGAGAGGCAGAGACAGAGACAGAGGGAGAAGCAGGCTCCGTGCAAGGAGCCTGATGCAGGACTTGATCCAAGAACCCCAGGAATCACAGCCTGAACCAATGGCAGGCACCCAACCGCTAAGCCACGCAGGCGTCCCTCAGACGGACATTTGAATCCCAGCTCTGCCACTCTAAGTGTGGTCCACTGGCCATCGGCAGTGATGTCACCGAGGGCTTGTTGGAAATAGAGACTCAGTCCAATACCAGATTTCATGAATCAGAATCTGTATTTTTATAAGATTCTCAAGTGAATGGTAGGCCCATTACAATTAGAGAAGCACTGAAATAGACCAGTTACTATCTAGGCTTATTATAAAAGGGTGTGATACCACTTCCCCTGTAGGGGTGTCAGGGTTCAATGAAACATGACATTTAAAGTACCTGGCACCTAAGGTGTTCCCAGATTCTCATTTGCCCCATAACCAAATGCATTTGCTTTACATAAGCATTAGGAATACCAATACTTTTATAGAAATTATTTTTAAATTTCTCGTTTTCATGATTTCAAGTGAAAGACCCAGGTGAAATTCAGCTTCTCCAAGAAAAGTGTCCTAGGTCCCCAGTGAAAACGAAGGTCTCTCATGTATAAGCAGTACTCCAGACCTTGTTTGGTTATAGATACATATCTGTTGGCTCAGTTAAGCACATGAGTTGGGATGAAGATCTGAGCCCAATCCACTGTCTCATTCTCCATGGATCTGGGCACAGGGCATGTCACACAGCCCAGGGCGATTAAGGTCCAAGGAATGGTGGAAGGTGTAGTGACAAAGCAAGAGACAGTGTGATCATTACTATTCCCGGGTCAGCAAGCTTCCAGCATTGCTGCCATTTATGGGGCTCCCGCTTGTTTGGCATCTGGAATGGTCTCAAAACGATCCACTTCTTCACCTCCCTACTTTAACAGATGTGCTGTTCTATCACTTCCTTCGTCATGTGACTAGCTGGAAACGGACACAGATCATGATTGTGTTTAACATGCTGGACTGGAATGCTATGGGCGAGATTGGTTTTGACCAGTTCTACATGTTGGTCTGCATCCTGCTGGCACAACAGGTGAATAACAAGTCAGGATCTGCGCAGAGAGAAGGCAGAGCTTGGCTGCCAACAGCATCTTGCTAAAGGTGGTACTGAATTAAGACTGCACCAGAGTTGTCTTCCTTTCACTCAAAACAGGAAGGAAACAGCGGAGAAGGAACTACTGTTGGTTCCTAAACGGTCCATCTCTAACCTAGAAATTTGCAGGCTACATAGCCTCACTCTCCCTGCTGCCCCTACCCATCTTCAGCCCTTCCTTGTCCTTTTTTTTTTTTTTAAGATTTTATTTATTCATGATAGAAGCAGGCTCGCTGCAGGGAGCCCCATGCAGGACTCAATCCCAGGACCCCGGGATCATGACCTGAGCCAAAGGCACAGGCTCAACGTGAGACACCCAGGCGCCCCCTTCCTCGTCCTTCTCAAAGAGTCACCAGGAATCCCAAGTGCCTCACTCTCTCAAGGATTGCTTTTCTCAGAGAATTTTCTGCAGGGGATAGATGATGGAGATGAAAAATGTTTGTCTTTGGGTTCCTACCTTACCTTATACACACTTGCAGTGTGTATGTATTCATCTCCTTACCACTTGGAAAGGAAACTTGTCTTCATTATCTTATCACCTTGCCATGATGTTTCACAAGTATATTTTTTAAAAAAGATTTTATTAATTTATTTGAGAGAGAGAGAGAGAGAGAGAGAGAGAGAGAAGAGAGAAGTGGTGGGGGAGGGTCAGAGATTAGAGGGAGAAGCAGGTTCCCCATGGAACAGGGAGCCTGACATCGGGGCTCAATCCTAGGATCCCCGGATCATGACCTGAGCCGAAGGCAGATGTTTAACTGACGAGCCACCCAGGTGCCCCTAGGAGTAGATTTTTTTTTAAAGATTTTATTTATTTAAGGCAGGGGCAGGGAGAGAGAGAATCAGACTGCCTGCCTCAGCAGGGAGCTTGACCTGGGCTTGATTCCAGGACCCCAGGATTATCACCGGAGTTGAAGGCAGACACTTAACCAACTGAGCCACGCAGACACCCCTCACAAGTACACTTTCACTGAGTATAAGGAAATGCATTTTAGTGACAAGGGTTCTGTCTAGAAGATCACAACAGGTGGCCTAAGTTCCCCTTGAATGCAGGTGCTTAAGCAGGACATGACACATTGACCATAGAAAGCTTTCAACCCTGTGCTTCTAGAATTTTGCCTTTTGCTTTTAGCTCTCTAGGAAATGGATAAGTGATGATATAGTCTTGATGCAGCCCAAGTTTAGAAAGCAGCACCTACAACAAGGTTCCTTGTATTATGTATTTCTCTCAATAGAACCACTTGGAAGAGCAATTTATCTTCCGTCATTCCGGCCTGTTTTTGAGCTGCTTGACCTGGATGGGGAGCTGAGAATTGGTGCAGACAACTTCCACATGTACAACTTTCTCTTCAATATTAAAAAACAGGAACTCAGAGAGCTCTACCATGACTTTGACATCACAGGTGACCGTGTAAGTGCAGATTCCTTAAGTGTGACCTGGCAGCCTTTCTGTCCAAAGGCAGAGATAATGTCCTACTCTCCACAATAGACCTGGGTGGGGAGAAGGGTGGATTAAAACTGGCTTGAGTGTGTCCTGGCACTGGGATCAGAAAACACTCAAAGAGATTTATAGGCCCATGAAGAGAGAGGACTAAGTGTCATATAAAATGGATGCAGAATTACAGAAGCTTAGAGAAGAAAATTTTGTTTAGAAGTTTAGAGAAGGAAATATATTAATATGGCAGGCGTTGACATTGGAGGAAGGGTTTATAGATATAAGTAAGTAGAAAGACAGAAAGTCTATGATGGGAACACATGAGCCTAAGAGAATCCTAAGAGAAAATAACTATGGTGTAGACCCTGGATTCTGCCTATCTATGTAAAGAGGAAGTCTCTGGGGCCCTGGCTGGCTCAGTTGGTGGAGCACATGACAATCTCAGGGTTGTGAATTCAAGCCTCACATTGGGCATAGAGCCTTTACTTAATAAAATAAAATAAAATAAAGTATCTTTTAATTAAAAAGACAAAAGAAGACGTCTATGTTGGGGAAGCAAGTGGGAGCTAAGGTTGAAACAGATGGATCATACGCTGTAGAACCTCTCAGGTGCCAGGGTGAAGCATCTGGCCTGGACACAGTACAAATAAAAGTGACCCATGGTTTCTTTAGAATGTACAATAGACCCTCTGTTTCCAGCTCCTAGACTACCATCAGTCTATAATTATGTCCTAATTACCCAGGCTCTTCAAATTTCCAAGTTTTTCAATGAGAAATGATTACAATCCTGCTGTCATCTGAAACAAAGTATCAAATCCTTCCTGAAATAATTTTTCTTTCTTTTCCCCAACAAAAGCGTCTTAATTACAAGGAATTTAAGCTGTTTACTATCTTCACCATGGACAAATACCAGGAGAAGCAGAAAGCAGAGAAAGAGCAAGGGAAAACGGCTCCACTCAAAAAGAAAAGGCCACATCGCTTTATTTTGAGCTCAAAACTTTTTTAGGAATAAATATATCTGAAAGTAGAATATAAATAATCACAACTGTTAACATGTCTAAAAATAAATTTAGAAAATCTAAGTGGGTATTTTTACATTGGCTTTTATACACAAAAGGTTCAAATGAGTGCTCTTCCATCAGCAGGTTCTTAACTTGAATAACTTTTTTTTTTCTTTAGATTTTATTTATTCATGAGAGACACAGAGGCAGAGACATAGACAGAGGGAGAAGCAGGTTCCCTGGGGGGAGGAGCCAGATTCAGGACTCGATCCCAGGACTCTGGGATCACCACCTAAGCCAAAGGTAGATGCTCAACCACTGAGCCACCAGGTGCCCCTTGAATAACTAATTGACTTCATAATAATGTAATGTGAAGAAACCACTTTCTCTGTGGACATGCCCCCCCCCCCCCGGACATGTCTTAATTCTGCTGCTGGTTTTCAGATCAACACTATTCATAAGGTATATCCAAATAATTACAAACACTGTCTGGAGCTAAACAGCTGAAAGACAGTGATGGTTTCCTACTGTTTGTTAGCAGCGGTTCAATATGCTCAGAATCCTTTCTATTCATTCTCTCAATTAAGCTAAAACCACTTGTATGCAAGACACTGTAAATTGGTAAACAGCGATGTGCCTCTACCTGTCAGGGAAACAGATTTTAGGGATATGGAGCTATGTTCTTCCTAGGACCTAAATTACAAAGTTAGATGCTTAAGGAACTGTACAAATCTACTAGGGTAGAATAATTATTATATGCCCTTGTATAATTTTAATTTTGTGTAATTAATGCCTTGAATAATTTTCAATTGTTTTTAGCATGGGACTCATGAGTCCTCCCAACCTGAATGTAGTGTGATATTAATGGTGATAACTATCATTTAGTAAATGCTTGCTATGTGTTAGGCAGGTGCTTTAGATGCATGAAGTCATTTATAATATTCATAACCCTGTGAATCAGATGTTATCCAGAATTTACAGGTGAGGAAATTAAGGCCTAGAGAAATAAAGAGCCTTTCCCCAAAATATGGCATACTAGTGGTAGGACTATGGTTCAGATTCAAAGTCAATTAGATGCCTGTGCTCAGATCAAGGGATCTGAGTAACTTACTTCAATTTTAGCAGTCTAAGTTTCAAGCCAGCAGGGCACATGGGTGGCTCAGGTCATGATCCAGACATCCTGAGATAGAGACCTGCATCGGGTTCCCTGCTCAGTGGAGAATCTGTTTCTCTCTCTCCCTCTCCCTCCACTCATGCATGTGCTCGCTCTCTCAAATAAATACATAAAATCTTTATTCAAGAAAAGATTTTGTGATGCCTGGGTGGCTCAGAGGTTTTGAGCATCTGCCTTTGGCTCAGGGTGTGATCCCACGGTTCCGGGATAGAATCCTACATCGGGCTCCATGCATGGAGCCTGCTTCTCCCTCTGCCTTTGTCGCTGCCTTTCTCTCTGTGTTTCTAATAAATAAATAAAATCTTTAAAAAAATAATAAAAGTAAAAAAAGGTTTCAAGTCAGCATTTTACTGGCTCAGAAATCCTTTCTGCATAATGCTAATTACCATATTTCCTTCTACCACAAACTTCTGGGGAACAAGTTTGGCAATTAAAGAGGTACAGCTCATTTACCATAAACAGAGAATTTCTTAAGGGTTGGTTATGTAATATAACTGACCATAAGGCATTCAGAGTTCCAGAGTTACCTAATAGCCATCAAAAATCACTGTCAATGTGCAATAGAAAAGAATACTGCTTATCTAAAATTGTCATTGGTAAGTAAAACTTGTAAGAACAGAAATCATGTTCATTACTATGAACACTTTATATTTAAGATGCAAAGTAGCTCAGAACAGTGCTCCTCTCTTCCTCTGATTTGGAGAAAAGTTTGCAGTAGTTCTCTAAGGAGAATACCTTCTGGAAAACAAGCATGAACACTACTACACCTACAGACAGTATTGAACTGAGAGACTAGTATTATTTGCCTGGAAAATGGCAGTTGGAAATCTGTCATCCTTCAAAGGGCCTTGCCATTAATCTTATCTTGGGATAGATTTCTGTCTCTTTTCTGGAATCCTAGATGGTTTTTGCTGGCAGACAAGCCTAAGATCTACACATAGTTCTAGGAGGAGAACCTATAACGAGGTCTTAAAAAGGCTTCTTAAAAAAAAAAAAAAAAAAGGCTTCTTTCCCATTTTCCAAGAGTAACATTCCTGAGATATATAAAAGTAACCATGGCATATATGTTTTTTACAGACACCATCTCTAAAGCAATGAAGATACTATACCTTTTACTGTGTCAGAATGGGAGTAAGGAGGGAGAGGGGAAAGTCGAAGATAATGTCTTTTAGGTTATAATTTTGACTAAATTTTTAAAAAAGATATTATTTATTTATTAATGAGAGACACAAGGAGAGAGAGAGAGAGAGAGAGAGAGAGAGAGAGAGAGGCGCAGAGACACAGGCAGAGGGAGAAGGCTCCATTTAAGGAGCCCGATGCAGGACTCAATCCCAGGACTCCAGGATCATGCCCTGGGCCGAAGGCAGGCGCCAAACCGCTGAGCCACCCAGGGATCCCCTGAATACATTACTTTAAATTTTAGTTTAAAATTTACTTTAAATTTTAGTTTAGAATTTAGTCAAAATTTGGGGATCCCTGGGTGGCTCAGCAGTTTGGCGCCTACCTTTGGCCCAGGGCACCATCCTGGAGTCCCGGGATCGGGTCCTGTGTTGGGCTCCCAGCATGGAGCCCGCTTCTCCCTCTGCCTGTGTCTCTGCCTCTCTCTCTCTCTCTCTCTCTCTCTGTGTGTGTGTGTCTATCATGAATAAGTAAATAAAATCTTAAAAAAAATGTATTCAATTATTTCAACTTAATTTACAATGAACAATCAAATGACTAAAGTCCCAGGAATGAGTCCCCCCTCCTCCCTGGAAATCACCAGGGTGACTATAACAGGTATCATGGGGGATACCTGGGCTCAGTCGATTAAGCGGCTGCCTTCTGCTCAGGTCATGATCCTGGGGCCCTGGAATCAAGCCCCACGTTGTGCTCTCTGCTCAGCAAGGAACCTGCTTCTCCCTCTCCCTCTGCCCCTCCAATAAATAAAATCTTTTAAAAAAACGTATCATGGGGCAGCCCTGGTGGGCCACTGGTTTAGTGCCACCTTCAGCCCGAGGTGTGATCCTGGAGACTTGGGACTGAGTCCCGCATTGGGCTCCCTGCATGGAGCCTGCTTCTCCCTCTGCCTGTGTCTCTGCCTCTCTCTCTCTCTCTGTGTCTGTCATGAATAAATAAATAAAATCTTAAAAAAATTTTAGATGCTAAAAAAAAAAGGTATCATGATCCAATTATCAGATTAAAAAAAATCCTTTTAATAGTATTTTCAGGGGCAACTGGCTTGGCTCAGTTGGTTGAGCATCCGACTCTTTGATTTTGGCAGGAATCCTGAGCTCCAGGTCCTGAGACTGAGCCCCTTGTTGCATTGGGCTCTGCACTCAGTGCTGAATCATCTTGAGGATTCTTATTCCCTCCCTCCCCCTCCTGTGCTACCTTCCCTTCTCTCTAAAACAAGTGGACAGATTTGTTTTTTAATTTTCATCAACTGTGCAGTTCTAGAATGGAATCAGGAAACGGAGTATTTAGTTTGGATGGGTCCCAACTGAAACTGTGTAAAAACTAAAATTCAATAGCATTGGTAAAGTGACTCTCTTTGGGACTATAAGTACAACAAAGAAAACAATCTCAATATCTACACTTCTGGACTTTTTTCCTCTATTACATTAGTGACTTAAGGTTTTAAAAAATTGTTGTGAGGTATGCCTGCAGATGTTTCAATTAAGTTTCATTTTTCCACAGTGAGTTATTCCACTGTGTTCTTAAGGTAGAGATCAGTTAGACCAAGTATATTTAGGTGTGTTTTTAACATGCCATAGTATTACTATGTCACAGTTACATTAGAATGCCTTAGCAAAGCACACCCCTTGTTCAGGGGCCTAAGCAATGGGCAGAGGAGCAGGTGAAGAGCAGGCTGGGCTGAAGGCAGCACTACAGGACTGGTCCCTCCACAATCTATATCAACTATAAAGAAGAAAGAATTTTAGAGGAAGCTAAGCAAAATGAAATCATTTATCTTCCACTAGTCCCTAGCTCTCCTATATTATATCATCCCTTGCCTCATGCCAAAAACCAAGACCAGAAAAGGCCAAATGAATTCTGCTGACATCTGCCAAAATGGGCAGTACCCAACATGAATAGCCCTCACAGAGCCAGAGAACAGATATCACAGGAGACCAGTTACTGCAAGGGAGGTTATCAGCTACACTCCTCTTTTTTCTCTTTTCTGTTAAGTCAAAATACTAAATCATAGTATTTGAGAAATTGAGGTTGAGACAGTTACATTTGCTAATTTGTTCAATTAATAAGAAATTATTCTTAAAAGCTGTCATAAAATAAGAGTGATTTTTCCCACCTCAGTGGGGAAAAAGACCAATGAAAATTGATTTAGTAAATAGTATCAGGAAAAGTGGGATTAGCTAGCCACCTACAAAAACAAACGAATAAACAAACAAATCTGGGCTGCTACTCTATTCCTTGTGCCAAAATAACTCCAGATAATGAAGCCATAAAAGAAATACTAAAAACATGAGAAAAAAAAAAGTTATAATCTGAGTGGGTAAGACCTTTTGAAGTAAAGAAGAAAACCCCAAAGCCAAAAAATGCAAGTCTGATAGATCCAACTAAGCTAAACTTAAAATTTGCACATGGTAAATTATACAAAACCAAAAACAAATGGTAACACATGATAGAAAAGGACTAATTTCCTTAAAAAAGAGAGTGTTCACAAATCAAGAGAATAAAGACCAAAGTGCACCAGAAATATGAGCAAACACAGACAATTCACAGGAAAAAAAAAAGGTCTAAAATATACAATAAAATGCTGCACTTCAAAGAAAATATAAAAAGACCACAGGACACAGATTTTTACTTAGACTGTCAAAGATCAATATGTTG